ATCACAATAATTCCTGGAACGCTACTACGTCCTGTACTACCCAAAACTTTTTATGACTCACAAAGGTGGACAAGCAACGTGCAATTTAGTTTGTTCTTGATGACCATGCCTTGCACTGCATGGCTTCATTCACATTATGTAGTGTAACAGACATTAGTCCTTGTTAACAAACCTTACATGTAATAGTAAAAAAATTGTACACCTGGCCCTTGGCGAATAATTAAGATTCTGATCAGCATCCTATCTTAAAATCCAGGTTTAGCAATCTGTCAAGGAGCGGTAAGAACCTTTGTTTAATGTGCCTGTTTACTTTCTAAACTTTAAATCATCGTTTACGAAGTTAGTTTAGCTTTGCCATAGATTTGTAGATTCCACGGTTTCTTCTGCTGTTTAACTTTGAGACGGTGTAGTAGCGCCAATACATTTGAATTGTTGGTTAGGAGGGGAGTTAATGTTGATTGATTTATCATAATGCAATTGATCCTGAGATTGGTGGTCTGTACAGAGGATTAAAGGCTAAAACGGTTTATTGCGCCTTTTATCGACTAACTCCTGGTCGAACTGACATATTCAGTTTCTTTTTTTAATCACTAAAAATTCGGGGGACTCGTCAAACTACCGAGGAAAACAGTACGCAGTTAAAGTAACTTAAAGGGTATTTATGGGGGGATGAAATAAAATAAAGAAGCGATTCTCGCTTTAGCGTCCCATAAAAGTACGCGAGGCTGCGGCGCTCCCGGTCCGGGCGGGCAGGTATCAAAGCCCGGCGCCCCTTTGATGTCGCAGGTAGCGCTTAATGACCTATTAGCCGGACACGGCGGCCCATCGGACCCGGAGACGGCAGTCTGGCGAAATACAGCGCGGCCGAGACGCCCTCCCGTCAGATAACAGCCCCGTCCCGTCTCCATTCACAAGCCGAAGGGCACTAATTATCTTATCAATTGGCTAATTTGTGATCGAGCCGATTAAAGCCGTTCACAGTAGATTATACCAGATAACCACCCCCCATCCCCGAAAGAAAACTGATAGGGTGCTTTACTAGTATGCCGACTGAAAAGGACGCGATTGTTCGACGCGTTATCGCCTCGAAACACTAACCATTGACTTGATCTGCCAAGTCTCATGTCAGCGCCGAAAATCAGTCAGGAATGGGGGCTGATGATTGTAAGTTAACTTAAAAGGCGCCTGGACGGAGGGGCTGACGTGTCTGGGATCAGTAGGGTTTTTAAGTTTATTATACTTTAACTAGCAGCTTTTGTAAAGAGTGTTTCCGAAGTTTTTCTTAAATATGAAACTATAAAACACACCGATTTCCACCCTATAAACCTTCCGACCTTAAGTTATTCCACACTAGCTACCTATATTAGTTTCTTTTAAGTATGGTCCATATAATTAAAAATTTAGCAAAAGGCACGTTATGCAGCCCTATCTGAATAACTTTCAAAATGTAAGCGTTAAAAATGTCACACTTAGATGATTCCAGTCGGTCCTACTTCAAACTTTCATTGATATCACTTCAAACAGTAAAAGTTTTTACACTTTTAATTTACTACACGTATAGAGGCATCCCTACTCTCTCACCATTACAGTATTTGGATTTGTTATCTAATTTTTGTTTTCGGCAGAGCCATAAATATGCTTGTGTCACAATTGTGATAATGCTGGAGTACGTTCAACATTTTTATATATGCACATCAAGTAAGTAATTATTATGGTCTATTATGCATTTGATAAGGCAATCATGACCAAAAGAAGTCCCATTCAGGTACAGATCTGGGTTTTGATGCTATTTATGGAGGTCAATGGAACCTTATTAAATCAAACTCGTTTTTTTTTGTCTCCCAGTTGTCAGTATATCTCTGATTTTCACCGTCTCCCCTATTGACACCCTAAATAAAGGCCGTGTGCCTTTCCTGCACGTCTCTGTGTAAATAGCGGAGACGTCACACTCTGTGTCTGTGTGAAGGTAGGGCCTGCAGACGACGACTCCCTGCCCACGGCCCCAACTCATCCAGGGCCTGATATGTCAGTGATAATGTAGGCTGGGGGGCTTTGAAGCGGCAGAGACGGGAGCTCGTTTTTTTATGGGCTACAGACGGGAGGAGCATCAGACGGCTCCCCCCACCCCGCTACCACCAGTGGGTGCCATCAAAGAGCTGGCCTTCGACATGGGATCTGATTGTCCCTGGGATTGCTCCGAAGTTTATTTCCTGCAGCCTTTATTGCGATCTGCGGTGCTCCCCCCCCCGCAGGAGGCTGGCGGGTCCCAGCCGTCTCCCAGCAGACGGAGGACACACTCAGCCAGTTGCTCGTATAGACTCCTTATTCTTGAGTTACTCCTGAAAAGTATCACCGCTGGAAATCACTGTTCATACTAAATCAAATCCAGTGCCTAGACTTGATGTCCCATTCCCTGTGCTGCTGACTGACCAAAACAGACTTTATGAGGGTGTCCATCTCGATGTCATGTGACTTTATGATGATATAAGGGTGTTTACTATAATATGGAAATTATACAACCCGTCGGCATTTTCAGTACCTTGACCTTTTCCTTAATTTCTGGATAATTTTACAACTGGGTCTAAAGGATAAAGTAAAAGGGCAAAATTACAGTAAACCAAGCCTTCTGGTTAAATTAATGTGTTTTTAAAGTGTTTCAGTTTAGCTTTGTCTATCTGACCCCAGTTAACCTCATACAATCAATGACTGTCTGGCTCAGTCCAACCCCCAAACCTCTCAACAATTGCCTGCAAGATTCAGCCTGAACATTTAGATTTTGAATGTAATAATAAGTGGGGGTGCATTGCTCTCTGTGAGTCCTGTTGCGATTCACAGCCCCTGTCTGCTTCATGTTGGGCTTTTTCCTCGAGTGCAGCAATGCAGCCGATCTCTATCGGTGCAAGAACTTTGGTCTGAAATGCCGAATCGATTCAGGTATCACGTTCCTCATGCCGTTTAGGTCTTTTCAGTGGAGCTGCAGTGTCCTGAACAGAGCAGCGACAGCTCACGGGTCGCCCCCAGGCCGCCGTGAGGCAGACACTGGCCTTTCATGCTAATGGCCTCCAGGGGGGGTGGCTTTGATGGGCCCCCGCTACCTCCTTTCATCTCTAATGGGGCCGTTTGCTGCCCCGTAATGGACGCAAGTGTCCTGTCCCCTTCTGCCGGCCCTTCGGGGATGAACAGAAGCACAAGGACCGACCTCCAGAGAGAAGAGCAAGGCTCCATTATCACAGTCCAATCATCTACTACAATTATTACTATGTACATACATACACTTACATAATTACATGTTTAATTATCGTCATTACTGCTACTGTTAAAATTACCATATAATTATCGCATTACCCAATTGCCAATCTAAGGTTTACTACTCTTCTGTACATATCTTTGATAATTGTTGTATGTTTTTTGTAATGTCTTCTAAAAGCACCACCAAGGCAAATTCCTTGTATGAAAACGTACTTGACTAATAAAAAGGATTCTGATTCTATCCATGTTCCAATGGGGGGGGGTTAGGGGGGGGCTACCCTGGATGGGATGCCTGTTATTAGTATTGCTATTAGTGTAATATTATCATGCAGGATAGCAAAATGACAGTGACTACGAGAATAAGATGCAGGGCAAGAAATCCCAGACATGCATGAAAAACAATTAAACTAAAGTGGGCTACATCGATTCCATTAATTAATTACATCCTGCAAAGACACTACCCATAATTCTGTGTCGTCACTGGCTGGTCAGCCGTAGGCCAGTTTGATCCCCGTTGCCGGTCTTGTGTTATCTCTCAGCTTTTCCCAGCCCCCATTTAATTATCTGCCAGCCAGTTAACCACTAAAAAATGTCCATGGCAAAACAGTGATGAATGCAAGTGATTTTTTCAGCAACATCAAGCCTCTTCTTTTAGGGGCAGATTTGCACAGTGTGACCATGACAGCACGCGCCGTGTCACTGCGTTGGCTGTGATTAGGTTAAAAGGAGAGATGGGGGGCTGCTGGCCATTGATCCCCCCCCCCCCCAGACTACAATGACGATGTTTAGCAGAGTCTTATCTATCTTCTGTTCTGTCCTCTTCAACAGTATTGATTCCAGTCAGATGCCATCAAAGCAGTAGTGGGGGTTGGTGGAACCAGTCTAGTCTGAACAGCGGAGCCTAGTATCAGATCGGGGTGGGCTAGTAAGTAGAGGGTGTGTTGGTCAGTACTGGATCACTCTGACCAAGTCACCTCACGACCCTGCCTTCCTGGAGACGTCTCAGGGAGTCTGAGATGGGTTTACTGGATGTACTGGTATGGCATCAGTGTTACCCCAAAACTGTGGATTTTTTATCTGGCGGGAGAATAGCAAAATTGATGTGATATGGAATGTATATTACAAAAGGATATATATATATATATATATACACACACAGAAACAAATATTTGAATGATATTGAATTAATGTTGTATGTAGGGTGACCAGATAATCCATATCAGGAGGGACACTGAGCTACTTCAGGTTATACAAACTACTTTGAAGCTGAAAGGCTCCTGTGCTCGGCCAATTAGTTCAGTTTTTCTTTTACTTTGACTGGTTTGTTTCCTTGATTGTAAGACTCATCCGGCTGTTTTACATTAACATTAGTGACACATGCATGCTTATAGGAGACTGACCAATCAGCACACAGCAAGGACTCAGTGCTAAAGGGAAATCCAGGTCCTTTTAATTGAAATGGAAGTTTACAAACCCTGTTATAGCTCATAGTGTCTCTCCTGACATGGATTAGCTGGTCACCCTACTGATATCTACTGCATAATTTTTCATATTATGTATTTTATTATCTGTGAATAATCCTGGCCTTTCTCTTACTAACAGCCTGTGAAGCTCTGAGTTATCTAGTAAGGTGGGCCTGTGGCTCTGTGGGTCACTGTGCTCATGATTTGCTAATTGCAATGCTGCTGGGGAAAGGTTGTGTTAGGGAGCAGGAAGCACCTGTGTTATGAATGAGCCTCAGGTCTCCATTGACTGGCTTCAATGCTGCGGCAGGGCAGATGTGAATTGGAAGTAACTTTCAAGAAATACATGATGTGCTATTGTGAGGAGAGCCCCGGGGCCACGAGACAGCAAGGTGGCAGGCTGTCATTGGGGGGGGGGCACAGCCAGGGAGTGCAGAGGCTGCTGAGGATATACTCCCAGGTGTGAGCACCCCCACACCCTATCTGAAAAACTTTTGTTTCACACACGAGTCACGGGAAGAAAGTGTCAAAGGGGGATTAAGCACCCCCCCCCCTTCCCAAAACCTGCCTGCTACTCATCATGAATGCTTAAGAGCAGCATCATACCTCAATATTCGAATGGTTACGCAGGCGAACTGGTGAAACTGGCCTGACCGTCAATGTGAAGGAAAGTAGCTGGACTGGACTTTGTCCTGACATTCGAATTGCCGAGGGCCAGAGGAGGGGAGGTGTAATGGCCGGCTCTGCCCTTTGATGTCAAAACAGCTTCGAGACTTTAATTATGCTGTTAGAGAGAGGAGGTTGCTGATTCGACAAGCCCCCTAAATGGAGTTAAAAGGGTGCGTAAAAAAAGACAGTCAGTTAGTGGAAAATCTCACCAAAAAAACAGGGGGATAGCAGTGGGCCGACTGGAAAGCAGACCTCAGTGCTGAAGTGATTATGGACTGGAAGTATCCAATCAGAGACGTTCCAAGCGGAACAACAGCAGTCAAATAGGTGTGTAGATCATCGTGAGCTCATTGGGCAGCAGGGATCATCACCCGTCACCGTCACAAAATCTGAGGGGGTTAGGGTTAGGGTTAGGGTTAGGCTTAGGCTTAGGGTTATTTTGATAAAAATGCTTCCATTTTTACCACAGGCATAGTGTTTGAAAATGTAGCATACATATTTTTTTCCTCAGTCATTTTTTTTTCTTTTTTCCATGGAGACAAATGAGTCTTGCCATGGACACGTTCTTGATGAGTATGATTTTCTGACACCCTTATAATAATATACGTAACGTTTATGTCCCTGCTTGACTCTTTTTCAGTGTCTCACACTGAAAACATTAAACATAACTTTTGTTGAATTAAAAACCTTCACATGGTGCAATGTCGACCTTCTCAGAGGTTTACCAACCCCCCATATATAAATCAGACATTTGTTTGTTTATTCTTTTTTTGGGGGGGGGGACTTAAGAGTGTTCATTGACAAAAAGTTTGCTAAAAGAAACTATTATCCGACATAATGGGTACAGGGCTTCAGTGACAGTTACGAACATCACTGCAATTATACAATGTAAAAAAATGAAAAGCACATTATTTAAAATGTTTCATCAATCTGTGGTGCAAGTTATAATGTAAACTGGGTTGATCTGTAATCAGAGACACTGCTAGAGATTTTGGGTCCCAACTAAGACCAATCCAATTTGCAAATCTTGCAATCATCATAACTACCCCCCCCCCACCACAAGGCACACCCACCTGTAGTATTATGTCCACTCATTTACTCTGCACAAATCAACAACCCATGGAACTTTGATCAACTGAAAAAGGTGGATCATGACACAAGCTTATATCCTGAAGGTTGCTGGTTCATGTCCCGCCAAGGCCATGCTTTGGACCATGTCTGCAAAGCAGTTGCTGAATTGTTCTAATAAGACAGCAAGTTGGAAGGTGAAACAGACTTCAGGGAAGGACAGTATCACTACCATAACTAGTATATCTTATCTAGTAATGCAACAGACACCTGCTACACTTACAATCTCTTGTGTATAAGGTTTTAATTTCCTTTATATTAATACTTTATGCCATTATTTTATATCATTATTATTATAGACTTACGTCCTGGTTATGTTCCGAAATCGTGGACTTAAGTCAATCTGGATGCATCTCGATCATTATAAGGAAAGAAGTCAAATATACTGTATAACATAAGATACAATATCACATGAATTTCTGCAAAGCTCTACAGTGGCAGCATAATCTGTTTGTTTTGGTTCTTGTCGCATGCCCGCTAATGCCCACTGCATCTGCTTCAGACGTCTCTCGACAAATTTTACTACGGCTCTTATGGGGCCGTGGACGTAAGTACGATCGGACGTTACTCGATAGGGTGTAAGTCAATGGATGACTGTGCTCTGAGTTCCTTCTCAGATCTTGTCCCCAATTATTACAGGCTTGCAGGTCACAGGTGATGCTCATTGTCCACTGCCAGTGTCTTTGTGTGAATTTGTGAGTCGGTTTGTTATGAAGCAGTTGGCTTTCCCGTTCTGGACGTTCCGAGGATATGACGGAAATAGAGGTCGTGTCTGACATCAGGGTAGCGCGGCTGTCTCTTCAGTTATCTTTGTCTGCGAGTACAAGCTGGACTCCTCATTGAATGTCCTTGTATACAACTGCACATGTCAGCTGGCTGGCCTCAGCATTATTAAATAATTCTAGAACTGCTGCACTTTGTGCCGTGTGATGAAGCTTACAGTGTTGTTTTGTAGTCTTGCTGGGCAATGCAGAGGCAGAAAGGGGGAAGGGACTCAAAAAACGACTAGACAGTTTCCGTCTTCAGCACTCAGACGCCATTCAGGTCCAAAGAGTAACACCGGCTTGCCACAGGACGTGACCCAGACAGTTCGCCGCCTCTCTTATCCCCGAAGTCGAGGCTTGCGAGGGGACCCTCGGTGTTTTATACAGACATACCCACAGCTGGTGGTCCTCGGTCCTAAGGGTCTCTGAATAGGCTTCCCCTTACTGCTTTTCGTCACCGATGACTGGCAGACGATGACAGGCAGTGCATCAGCACCAGTCGAAGGAGCGACCCACCAAACGGAAGAATGTGTGGTTGGGCTCCCTGAAGAATCGGCAGAGGGCGCGGAGTACCGCGGCAGCCAGCGGGGCGTGGGCGCGGCCCTTGGACTCATCCAGGCACCTGTCATGGCCGCCAAGGGGGCGAAGGCAGTAGAATCCCTTCGTGGCATTGAAGTAGAAGTTGGCGGCTCCGATGCGTGCCGGCAGCCCCAGGAAGCGCTCAGTCCTCTTCAGCTCAGGGAGGGGGTCACGGACGAGGGCATCGCCATCCACCACGTGGATCTGGGCCCTGGGGAAGTGGGCCAGCCAGCGGCGCAGGTGCAGGTGGTACAGGCTCCGCTGGAGAGCCCGGTAGCCAGGGTTGACCCTGCCCTGGCGCAAAAGCAGCTCCTCCAGCGCCGGGTAGGGCTTCTTGCGTAGCTGGCGGTTGCGGAGCACCTGCGTGTAGTCTGAGACGAGCCGCTGGACCGGGTCACGGACGATGAGCAGCAGCCGCACGGCCCGGTCCATGTGCCGCACTCGTGCCGGAGCCTTAGGCGACGCAAAGTAACCCGGCGTCTTCTCCACCGTCAGCTGACCCGGGAGAGAGGCGGGCATCTGAGCCCGGTACCAGCCCAGCCCGTGCCGGTAGTTCTCATCCAGGTCGAAGAAGTGCACCTCTGCCGGGGCAGCCGCCACAGCCGGGTGCAGGTCCAGCATCTCCAGCAGGGCCCGGGTGCCGCCCTTCCGCACGCCGATGATGATGGCCCCGGGGAGGCCCTGGGAGGCGTTAGCCGCGGCGGGGGGCACTGGAAGTAAGGTCTCCTCAAGGGACAGGCAGGTCGGCAGCAGGAGGATGAGGGACGAGAGCCGCAGCGCTGGGGCTGCCCAGTGGCAGTGATGTGTAATCCTCATCTGGAGTATGTCACTAGACTGGAGAAGAATTTACAGACGAGGGAAAAGGAAGTTGTCATTTATATTGAACTCAGTCATTTTTTGTCCCAGTTTTTGTACTGCTAACGGTGATCTCGTGTTTACACCCTGCACACTTTTCACACCAAACTCTCTTTCAGGAGTGATGTTACTCACTGCTGGGAAGCGTTAACTTTCAGGTTTGATGAAGTCGATTTATAGACCTTCTTTAGCAAGACAGCGGTGAAGCACCTCCAGGAAAGAGCAGAGCACTAGTTCACAATATAGTACTATTGTCCATATAGCTGTATATGATATGGATTCACTATTTTAAAACACAAGTACAATTTTCTTTAAATGATGTAGTGCCAGTCAAAATAACATGAACCTCATAGATAACCGTTTGCATTTTACTGTAAAAAAAAAAAATCCAGAAGGCACCTTTTGTGGAGAGAATCCTCCATATATGTATTTGTGTACGTGCATATATGCATGTATGTATCTTGATACAGATACGTTAAAAATTAAAGGTCTCAGTAGGGAGTTTCCATGAACTGCAGCCAGTCCGCTGTACGGTGCCATTCAGACGACCTGTTGTTGCCACCCCCTGGTGAAAGATAATACTGCAAGTTAGACCTTTTGTCCAAAGTTGCCGTTACCGTATATAGCGTATATACGCCAAGAGTTTTTTCTGTTCTGGTGGTCAGATTTATACACACGATATAAGGTAAACAAAGATTTCCACCATCTTCTGGACAATATTTTCACTGGATACCAGGAGTATTGTACAATATCAAGACTGCATTCTATTGGAGAGCCATTGATGGCTTGAGGGATGAGAGAACATCTGGTCTGCAATAACCTCTATCCAGGTCAAGTGTGCACTAAGCACACATAAAAACAAAGCTTGTACTTTGCAACAAAAAAGGATTTTTGAATTGTTTTAGCAGGGTGAAAGGACCATATATTTTTGATGATAGATGAGATTGTTTCTAGAATCTCTTGGAATTAATATAGTATTGCTGTTGTTTTATCAGAATGCAAATAAGAATAAGTGAATATAATGATTCTATTTTATGCACATAATTTTTATATTTGTCTTGATTGTCCTTGCAACACCCCAAAGTAAATTCCTTGTGTGTTAAAGTATTTAGCAGTAATTAAACGATGGCAGCCATTCTGTGCCAGTACACTCACCAGACTTTAGCTAAGGTGGTGGAGGAACAGGAGAGAATTCATCAGATATAGGGGATGATTAGGAGGCCAGTGGCTTGTACCAGTAACCCCACTTCGTAGTCGAGTCCCCAGATCAGATAGGGCCACCACCCCTACTCTCCTGAAAGGTGCTCAGGGATCTTTTATGGTCTCAGAGGCTCAGGACTACTACAGTTTTATGTTTTATTCAAAGAATGGTACCATTTTTGCAGCACCATGTTCCCACCACTGCACAGGGATCCACACTGACCACTGGATGGGCTAATCTGTTAGCTACACCAACACCGCTTCCAGTAGCAACCCAGTTTTCCTAGTCAGTCTCCCATCCAAGTAGTGGTCCAGCCCAATCTGGCTTAGCTTCAGATAGATTATCTGGTCTGAACTGCAGGTGATATGACTGCTGGCAGCCCTAGTTTTCTCAGGATAAGTTTTGAAAAGGGTATCCGATGTCCTTGTGGCCTGTGCTTCTTGGGAAATACTCCAGGCCTCATTGCAAATCTGCACTGGATGGAAGACGCTGGATGGATATGGGATGGATATGGGATGGAAGTAATACTAAAAAGATTAAACTCAGTGGTATTGGCCAGATGGAAATGGGATGTTCTGCTGTAGTGATACATTGTTCCTGTCAGAGCGTAAACAGGAAGTGCGTTTCAGGAGGCTGTGCTTGTACTGGTTCATGACGTGCATCTTACTAAACTGGACTGAAATTATCACACAATTTTAAAAAGCACAAAAATGTGTGAAGCTGTTGTTCTGTGTCCTGCTGATAGTACTAGTTAAGGGCCTGGACTAATAAACGAGAGGTTGTTGGTTGAAATCCCAGGAGAAGTTTCCCTTTATTGTTCTCTGTGACAATAATTTCATTCTGCACTCCCATCTGATAAACCCCTCCCTGTACTAAACCCCTCCCTGTGGCGAATTCCCTTCACTACAGAGAGAAGGCACCGTATGGAGATTAGATCTTGCTATAATTGAGAGCTGGAAATAAGGTGCTCTGATCCAGGTGTTTTCATCTGGCCCGGAAAGACCCCTCCATCGAACTGCCACGTCTACACTAGGAGCTGACCTTCGGTTAATCGGCGCAGCTCTGCAGTGGCGCATCCAGCTGTGCGTGAAATTAGATTCCCGGTAAACCCTGACCCACGTACAGCTGTCAGACTGGCCTCCTCTGCGCGGACAGATCAGGGTGAACCTCACCCTCCTCCCAGCGAAAGCTGCTCCGCTTCTGGGAGGATGGGACTGGATACTGAATTTGATCACATGCCGCGATTCAGAAGCATAATTGAGCTGTTATGCATTTTGTGGCTGCTACACGAATTACCCGATCCGGTCGTGGAAGTTGCAATATTGTGCGCTGAACTATTCCACAGTAATACTGTGTGCAATGAGGGGTATATTTTAAACATATAAACATATTCCAACAAAACGCACCCCAGGAAAACAAAGCGAATATTCTCGCTACCAACTATAGCGAGAACCGTAAACAAAACGAATATATGTTTCTCCTAAAAGTATTTCTTTTGAGCTTATAGCCTATTGTTTTTTTGTGCATTGTTGTCTGTTTTTGTGCGTGTGTCAATATTTCATCACTTTAGTGGATCATAAACTAAACAATGCTTTTACATTTCAATTTCTTACAGATGTTCTAAAGTAATAAATAATAAAATTAAAAAATACAAAAAGCACGCATTGCGGTCTATCAGAAAACTTCAAGAAGTTACCAAACGGATGCAAAATCAAAGATACTCGTTTCTGCCTGGCACTAACCACACATTAAATTATGGCATATGCGAGTAGCCCATAATGTCCGGAAAACACAAATATAAAGCACATGTAACTGTCTCATAAACATAATAAGAATTGTAATAAGCACTGCAATAAGCAATGTAATAAGCCTAAAATCAATGGGATAGAAAAATTCTCAAAATGGGATAGAGTTCAAAGGGAACATATCTAACTGAAACACACTAACGTATTACGGTTCCTTGTTTGTATTAAGCCAACTATGACTACAGGGGTCTTGCAAGAATAAATCAGTACCGGCCTGATGGGGGCAGCAAAATGCCGTTTCCTTGTTATACAACGTCGGGAAAAAGTACGAGCGATTTTAGGGTGTGATTTTTATTGAACCTTTTCCACTTTCAGTTTGTCTTTCACAGACGTCGTGGGGCGAAAGGGGTTGAAGTCATTCTCACGAACTCCATAAAATTTTTGTCTCATTTTAAAAATTAGTTTTAGACAGACAAGCTAAACGTACTGTAAGTGTATAAACGGTCGATTATGCCTATGGGATCGTCAACCAGTCGGTATCGTTCACCTCTTCGTACACGGACTAACGTGTCCGTGCAACACTCATCTGTGTCCGTGGCAGAATGTTTTGATTGAGAAAAAAAAAACCATATAGCTTACGTTTTTAAATACAATCTCCGTGGTAAAAATAGATAAATTTTATTTTGATCAAAATATCTTGCAGGATTCCCAAGGTGTTGACCCCTGTGAATGAGTTTTATTATAGTGCCATTAATTTCTGTAATAAACAAGTATTTCATCAAATCCAGGGCATAAATGGCAAGACTAACAACAAACTGAGGAAAAATGTACATCTTATGAAACAAATTGATTGTTTATTATGGGTTACATGCAATAAATTTGAAAGACATAAAAGTTGAAAAACTAGTTTTGTGTTATTTGATCTTAAATTTATGTTAATTGGTATTTTTTTTTTACCTATTAGGAGAAAATGATGAAAAAAAAATTAAATCAGAGGAACAAACAACATACTTTTAACATACCTAAAAAGTTAAGGTGATGTCAATTGCGCTACATAAAAAACAAACACTATTTCCTTGTAACTTTCTTTTTCTTAGAAACTCTTGAGTTTGTGAGAATGATGCACTGGAAATTGTCTGCCGCCGCTTTGGAAACTCCTTCTGGAAATTTGCTCCGCATGCGATTGCATCTGTTCCCCTGTGGTCTGCAACAGCGGCTTAATGTATTTAGCTTTTTACTTTTAATATTAGCTAAAAATAGACAGAATGGACTGGTGCCATGGGGGGCCAGGGGAGGGGGGGGGGGGGTGTGTGAATTAATCGATTGCCGTAGGGCAACTCTGGCAGAGGAAAATTCATGCAAATGAAAATTGTTTCTGCAGCAGGATAAACTTCATGGCTGCACATCGCTACACAAAGATCAATTCTGTTATGAATTCTGCTAATTACTAATGAACGTTTTCCTCAGTCACACAGAGGTGATGCTCACATGGGTGACTTGGGTAATGAAACCCACCGACCTCCACAGGGTCAGAAGTGGCCAAGCTTCTGAATACAGCTGTATAAAGCAGCTATATAGATAAAACGGATACAAGTAAAACGTCATACAGCACATTTTTGCCAACTGAACCTGTTATTTTATGTTGACTTTGGGGGGAGAAGAAAATAGGGTCAGTCGTGATCTTTAACGGACATTATTGCTGCACAGCTTCCAGTCTGGGGCCAAGGCACAAGTCAGACAGGGTGTGGGCAGAGTATCGTCTACCTGCCGGCATCAATGGGGTGGGGGGAGCTTACAGCACGCGGGGTGGGGGGAGCTTACACTATGGGCTGCTGGGTCACTTTGTCCCTCCTCCCAGGACCACCAGCAGCAATGGACACACGCTACACGTCCCCTGGTCATATGGCACATAATAGCCTGTGGGCCTCTGTGTATTAACTCACCGGCAGCACGGAATGGCCGCAGGCTCATCATTAGCCACCATAATGGGAGGGGACCTCTAAAGGACCACTGTGGGAACTGGGGGGGGGGGGCATGAACAGCCCTCAACTTTCAAAATTAAAGAGTAAAAATATTTCCAACCGTTTGCCTCAAGGTCACCGTGTGACTTTGGCCATGCTGCGGCATGTGATGAGGTCACTGTGTGACTTTGGCCGTACCGTGGCACGGTGATGAGGTCACCGTGCGACGTTGCCCGTACTACGGCACGGTGATGAGGTCACCGTGCAACTTTGGCCGTACCATGGCACAGTGATGAGGTCACTGTGCGACTTTGCCCGTACTACGGCACGGTGATGAGGTCACTGTGCGACGTTGCCCGTACCGCAGAACGGTGATGAGGTTACCGTGTGACTTTAGCCATACCGCAGCACAGCATCGAGGTCACTGTGTGACTTTGGCCGTGCCGCAGAACGATGATGAGGTCATCGTGCAACTTTGCCCATACTACTGCACAGTGATGAGATCACCTTGTGACTTTGGCCGTACCGCGGCACGGTGATGAGGTCACTGCGACTTTGGTCATACTGCAGCATGTGATGAGGTCACTGTATGACTTTAGCCATACCGCAGCACGGCATTGAGGTCACTGTGTGACTTTGGCCGTACTGCAGAACGGCGGTGAGGTCACTGTGTGATTTTGGCTGTACCACGGCATGGTGATGAGGTCACGGTGCAACTTTGGTCGTACCGTGGCACAGTGATGAGGTCATCGTGTGTCAGGATGTTTCAGTGAAGCTCCTGCTGTAAACCATGCCACAGGTAACCAATCAGACGTGAGGACAGGATGTGACAGCTACAGAGCAGAGCAGTGACACCACTGGTAAGCAAGATAACTGACCTCAATTAATTAGTGAATATAAATATTAATGCACAGACTTAAATGTTCAGTTCCAGATCAGTGTGGGAGAGGATGGGCTGCTGATGTAAGAGTACTGGGAGGACAGGCAGAACCACCAACACAGAAAGACCTCCGACTGCCGCTCACCAGTACAGAAAGGCCTCCGACTGCCGCTCACCAGCATTGCCACCATTAGTGACCCGAAAACAGCATTAGTTCAAGTGCACAGAATGCAGCATATTTATATAATCATCCACTGTACTCAATACAACATAAAGAATAAGTATATTTATGCACATAGTTTTTATTCTGCAATTTAGTGTTTGAAATTTATGTATGAAAAATGTAAAATTATATAAAGATTCAATTTTTCATATATGCACAATATCAAATTCAATATTTATTTTTATATACAACTTTTTGTTTATTGAAAGCATAATGCATGAATGGCAGTTGCTGTGTATGAGATTATGGTGATTTGGTAATAAATATGTTTAAAGAGTATGAACTTTTAAACATTTTAGGGCACACAGTGCTGAATTAAAAATGAGGGATGTGAATGTCAGCACCACATAGATATATGTACAAGATATATGTATATACTGTCTGAGCAGAAGTAGTTGGGGTAAGTCAGGGAAAATCACTTGATCACATTTGATCTGGATTATCTAATATCACGTTTAACTTAACCTGCTCTATTTTTTTTTATATACAAATGCTATTATTAATAATTACAACAATACTCAACATTATACCATAGTAACCATCTCTGGAACTTCTTAATAATTAGAAGCATTTGGTTTTCAGTATCTTATTACACAACTTTTCAGTTAGATACTCCAGAACTGTTCACTGAAATCGCTATATTGTAAATATTACAGTGAATTACCATTGCTATAGTCTAAATTCCAGTTTCTACCTATACCATTTGCTAATGTATATGTGAATTTTTCTGTACACCTTTTATTGTTTCGTTTGACACTAGACTGAAGGATGAGTAAATATCTTTGTCTTACATGGATGTGACAATGAAACTTTTAAACTTTCATTCACTGTTTTTGTCTTCTCATTTTAGAGTTGCAGCTTGAATATCATTGTATAATGACAACAAAGGAATTCAATACAGTTCAAACTAAACTTTAGGGTAGCTAAATGGTTAACAACAAAATGCAATTTAAAAGCCATTATGAGTTATTCGGGTTTTTTTTTAATCCCAATACACAGCGTCCCAGAATCACCCCAGCCAGTATTTATAATTCTAGCCGTTTGCTGCTCCGCAGAACCGCAGTTTACTTACTTGCGTGTAAAATGACTATAAAGTGACTTGACTAAAGCCCATCAGTACAGCTTCTCGGATGTTCGGTTTAGCGAGCTGCTCTATGCAGGATTAACATCGCCGCCTGTTTTCGGGGTGAAAAATCGCAGACCGGCGCCTGAAAAGCAGTGAGCGCCCATCGGCAGTCTATAAATCCGGGAAATGGAGGCATCGAATATAAATGTTGAGTGATCGTCATTTACGGTAACACCTGTGATGCTGTTCGTTCCCTCATTACCTCCCGAGGGCGAGCATTTCGTTAAATGTATCGGGAATTAATCATGTATTTTTGTTACATACAACACGAACAGGAGTCGTTTCGCTGGCACACAGTTTTAAATAAATCATATTGTATTTTAACGCTCCAGATCTCAAACTAAAAAGACATCGCGCATATCAAATCTATAGTAAACAAAGTATTACTTTTTAAATAAATGAGTCGGGTATGCAATAAGAGCTATTATACTCGGTTATTGTCAGCAGAGGTATATTAAAAATAGAAACACTTTAAGCTTGAGCGTGACGGGGTCAGCGCTACCGGCCAACGTTTAATGTGGCGCCCAGTTAAGGTTGGCACCGTCCGTCAATGAATAAATAAATATGAATAAAACATGTAGGCTACTCCGCATGGTTTGAGCCGATCTTCTGTACTCTTAGCCATATAGGCTCCGTGCTCAGCAGACGCGTTTTACTCGCAGTATAAAACCCTGCGATCTTCACGCGCTCTCATATTACCCCATAACACGCGAGGCAGGAATCCATCCACATCACACTCACATCACACACAAGGCTGGGCATTACATTCATCCCAAGGTCGCCTGTCATTTTGAAATACGCTGTGAACTGGAGCTGAACTGGAGTTCAAAAGAGAACTAAGGCGTTCTGAAGTTGGACAGATACACTACACAGGGTATTAAACTATGGCTCAGGTCCCAGGAAAGCCGCAGGAGAAGCCTTGGGAGACAGCGAAACTTTTAAAGCATGTCATCCACACTTGGCATTTTAGGGCACTTCTCTTGACCAACTTCCTGTACGATGCTTCAACTACAAAACAGGATGAACAGATTGTGCTTTAACTGTGCGTGACTTTAATCCCACAACAGCACTTTGGTCTGTATGCAACACTTTCAGATTTTAACTTTTGTTTCCCAAAGGAGCAGAAATTCTTTTTAATGTGACTTGAGGAATAATGGTTTTGGGGATCTGCATTTTGGGGTAGGCTTGTGAAGTATAGAGCATGATCGTGCTGATTGACACAGTCTGGCTCTGGTAACCATCCTAACGCACGGCGGGGAACCACGAACTGCAAGCGCCGTGCAGTCCCTCCTGACAAGGAAACTGACAGGAGCTGTGACAATGGTCTGCGTGGGAGCTGAGCTACGGTACACAGCCCCAAGTGGTCATGGGATAGGCGCCCATTCACATCACAGTCAGCTTAGCATCTTCGGATAAAATCCCCCTCATACAGCCCTGTTGATTAACTTTACTATGTTTCTCACCGAAAAACATTACTACTAATATCGCAACTCAAGTGAGCGAAATGGGACCTGGCAGCTTATCTCAACGGCATCTTCAAAGTTTGGAGTGATTTGCATAAATTTACATTCAGCGTAGACACAAAAAAAGCAGCACCCCCCCGCCCCCCCTTGCTGGCATCGCAGCGGTTATTACAGAAAGGCTGAGCTGTATGTGAAGCTCGGCTCTTTGACGACGAGACCAGTCCTAATTACTGGTGACACTTTGGGGCGACTTCCCTCTGTGGGAATCGCCCCAGTCAGGCATCCCATCCCACCGGCCCCAAACTTAAACACCCACAAATGCACACCTACCGCTCTTGGTGGCCACATGGCAGAAAGGTGCGACTTCTGCTCCGGCTTCTCCGTGTCCTGCGCCGTCCGTCCCTTGGCCGTGTGGACGAGCGGCTGTCTGGCTCTGGGCGAGCAGCTGAGAGGTGGAGAGAGAGTCACAGCTTGTCTTCTGGCTCCGTCTCCCCTATGCGTGTGTATGTGTGTGTGTGTGTGTGTGTGTGTGTGTGTGTGTGTCTGTATAAGATTGAGCCTGTGAGCTCTGTTTGCCCAACCACGTCTCTCCACAGGGACCTTCATACCCTCCCCCTTTCCCCCAATTTTTCTCCACCTCTTTTCCTTCTGCTTCCATCCCTTGTTTCCTTAGAACCTCCTTTCAGTGTTTTTTGTCTGCAGTTCCTTATTATTTATCCATATAATGCACTATTTTCCCTTCTGGTGTTGGTGTCCTTACATTTTCTTGTGTCGCCATCTTTCAGATGTTTATCTCGGTCAAAATTTCATGGGCCCGCATGAGATCATAGCTTCAACTGACAACCAGATTTCCCCGCAACAACATGGGTAAAAGCATATGAGCTGCACACACACAGATCCAGAGCAGACACTCACACTTTGTAGTATCTGCTGCACCCCCCTGCCGAGCCTCAGCTGAACATTTCAGCGTTTCTCGTGAAAACAAATATCTCTGCCAGTCCCGTAGACGGATGTTTGGAATAAAAGCTGCTTTAGGCAGCGACACCTCACCCCTTCATCTACTCACATCTCTTCATCTAAGGGAATATCTTGCTTATTCTCGGTGCCTTTGTCCAAGGTCCTTTCTGGCTTGCTTCAGTAAATTAGCCAGCTGTTAGTCAGGTAAATGCATAAGTAAGGTCTGTGTTTGCTAAGCAGCTACAAACAAAAAATGTGTTTAAAATACTGCAGTAGCTGGGATAATTGGTCTGATTTTAGCACTGAAACCTTGGCTGGCACTATGCCGTGTTAAGCAAACCGCACGCACACACACACACACACACACACACACAAACACACACACACACACGCAACACCCTTAGCCTTTGCTTAATGTCATTAAGGATCCTTCAGTCACTTTCGACATTTCCAGTCTGAAATGAAGTTGGTTTGTCATTTTTTAAGTAATGGTGATATTTATGTTTATGTTTCTTTACAGATGCATTGGGTTTAGGATTTGTGGGTGTCTTTTTCATATTTATTTAGAGACTTGCTTTACAGATAGGCTGACTGAATGGTGACCTTTTTCGCTCATGATATCATGCTTATCTTCCCTCTGCTTCTTGGGGTGGGGGTCCATGACGGCAGGACACCATCTCCATCAGACCAGGTCTCTTCTTCCATGCCCATAGAGTCCAGCTGGTTCTGGGGGATCCCTCAAGAACATCCTGGGTCATCCCCAGGGTCTCCATCCTGCCCGGAACAACTCCTTCATAACCACCTGAGCTTATCCTGTTTGCTGCTAATTTGTTGTGGGCACGTTGTAGCGAGGACGAAACCTCCACTCATTTCCATCTGGAGTTACTGAGCAGATTGTTCTTTGTGTGGGCTCACCTGTGGCATTTTGCCATTGGCCTGGAGACCAGGAGGGCGGGGCTGGTGGGACAGCAAGGGGCGCGAGCGGTGTGTTGTCTGGAGGAGTTCCTCTCCCCCAAAGAACAAATCTCAGCCTACACCCCCACCCTGCGCCCAGCTGAGAAGATCATTCTAGGCCCAATCGAGGCCACAGGAATCAGAAGAGCCGTACTGGGGCGGCAGCGTCAGCAGGGGTTCTGTGGCCTCAGGAGAAGAAGCAGGAAAGGAGATCAGATGAGAGGCGCTCTCCGGGTCAGCTCCGCAAGCCTCCTGTCAAAATCTCTCCATCACCCCCACCCTGCACTTTGGATTAACAGGTCTCAGCCTTCGGATTGGCTGGAAACAAACAGAGCCGGCCCCCGCTGTGCCCCGCTGTGGGGGGCACGTCTGCCTTGCACTCCTTCTCTCCGTGGATAACGCCCCCCTCCCCTCCCCTTTGATCGGCCCCCACCCTCTATCCTCCCTTCTTCCAGGCCCCCTATCCTGAGATTAGAGCTTTGAATATGGGACGATCTCGCCCTATCTCTCCCACTCACCCGTCTTTGCCTCTCAGTAAAGCGTCTGGATTTTTGGTATCTTTCTTTCTCCTTCAGACGTTTCCAAAATCCCCACCCCATTCACCCCCTCCCCAAGGCACTTTCATATGAGATTTATTAGCAACCGCAAAACGAAATGATTGGAGTCAGTGCACTGAGACCTAAAAGAGGAGAGACTGGGGCGGAATCAGCCGCGGAAAGCCGCCCGGGCAGTAATAACGAGATCTGTCGCGGAATATCGGGAGAAGCTGAGCTTCAGCCTTGTGGCCTTATTCTCCCCAGGGAAAGGAAAGCACAGCTATGAAAATAATACTTTCATTTTTACAGTCTACAAACACTGGGTATGGACACCAAGGAAAGGTTCAATTTGGCCAAATAACTTTCACGAGGCTTTCAACAAGACCCTCCTTGGCTTTGATCGCCGGGCCCTTTGCACTGGGGTCCCGAAACCTTCTTAACGCCACGTCATTCTTAAGTTCTACCTTAAGTTGTCTCTTAACACTCTGACATGTTTCCCGAAATATTCTTAGGTAAATATATCTTCTGCGAACTTTTGTAAGGTTGGTCTGAGCCCCTCTTACCTGTCTCTTATCGCTGTTGTCGGCTCGTATTGCTCATTTAAAATAAGACTAACGTCGTTAAGGGTACAGTTTCATAACCAATCATCACTTCATTAAAAAATAACTGGTCCATATGATAAAATGATTTTGTCTGATACATGACTGCAGTCATCATCAGGTTTTGTCCTTGTGCTCTGAATGTGCAGCGAATTGACCTCAGTAACATAAGGAATGCCGTGTTGATTATGTATTTATTTATTAATTGGGAAGGAAGGGGGGTTCTGCCGATACTGGGGTGGACGCGCTCCCCCTATTCCGACACCCCTGGAATGCACACACCTCTCTAAATGTGCCAAAGTCAGAGTATAATCAAAACTTTGGTTCATGAGGCTGATAAAAGTCGACACTGCAGGTTCATTTACATATTTATCTAATATATTTCCCTAGAAAAGCACCTTGGAACAATGCTGGAGCAATAGGACATTCTCTTATGTTAAGACAGTAACCAACTTTTCTTTCGGCTAATGCACCACTGCTTGTCCCGATATTAGTGACATGCACACATGTTGGTGCACACAGGTGTTTCATAGGACAAATAAAAATAAAATGGTGATACTACGGTCTGGGGGGGTTCATGCACTCAGTCGACGAAAATCATATTTACGATTAGATGATTCAAGTTGTTAATTTTGTATTTGATTTTTAGGTTCTCCCCAGTTCTGATTAATGCAATATTTCGAAACATTCCTGCAGTGTTATATTTATAAAGAACATGCGGCAGTCAAGCATTTACTGCATGGAGGGAATAATCAATTCTCGAGCCATTAATATCAACCAATCAGGTGTTCTGGTGCCTATTAAGGTTGCACTTAAGAAGCTCTCCCTTAAGCAGTCTCTTAAGAGATTGTTCGGAAACATACGTAGGAAAACAAATACCTTTAAAGTCTCATCTTCATAAGTCTTCGTAAGATACCAAGAGTCTTCGTTACTGGGAACCCAGCCGTGGGCAGGTGTCATCTGTTATCAAAATGAGACACCAGCTTAAGGAAATCTGCATACTTTGACAGCGGAATTTCGCTGAATTATTTGCTATAAAATTCTACAATCATTACAATCATAACCCCATACTGTCATGGGCCCTGATTATACAATAAGAGTTACTGAGACATTTTAAGGAAGTTGTTGAGGACAGAAAAGTGATAGAAAAGCAGATTTGTTTTATTAAAGTTTTATTCATGGATATTTTGGAAAATTCATACATGTAACACTGTTACTGATGTCATTTTAATTAGGTACTTTTATAATAACAGTGGGGTACATTTAATTATAAAATGGATGAGAGAGGTAACAGTTTTAAAGCAGTAAATACTAATGTGAAGGACAGCTGTTTCCGAGTACGGGGCAGGATTTCACTGACGTGCATCGGGGAGCCCGTGTTAAACTCCAAATCGCCACGGAAATTTCCGCGTCACACTGTCAGCCAAGGACACCAGTGTCCTCTGATTCCAAACATGTGAATTCTTACTAGGAGAATACAGAAGTAGAAACCACACACTGTATAAAGCCTGTTTATTGAATACGTATGATATTATAATTATTTTTAATCAGGACCACACTCACTATTGTATATATGTGTGTGTGTATGTCTCAAAGGAGAGCAAGAGTAGATATACAGAAAGTAGCATTTCAATGTATCTGCATTAATACTTGTGCAAATAAAGCATAATTTCAGAAAGGAATATATTTACTAAATGTGTCATCTTTCACACTGATT